ATTGCAGATATGATGTTCTCCAGTCAGCTCATTTAAAATACGTATTAGCCAAAAAACATGGAATTTCGATTTTGTTGTTTTCCGTAAATTATTTCTCCTAACCACCACTGGTATATAGGACATGTAATCACACAAGGCATCAGAGATAAAATGTCAGGCCAGAGAGAGAAAACTGCTCCCTCCCCCAAATGTCTGTAAAAAATGTCAAAAATTGATTTTTATTATTAAATGAAAAGTACCGGTAATTCTACTTGTCTTGAACAGAAGTATTTCAATATAATGAACAGGTTGACAGGTAACTGGTTGAAGTACCAGTACAGACACCTGATATATAAATACTGATGATACTCGCTGGCAAGGCATATTTTTGACCTTAATTAAAAATGGAGTATAATAAAGTGGTAATAAAACCACAGTAAAAATCAACAACAATGACTCATATTTGGTGTCCAACCGAGATGAACAAAGCAAATTCTGTTTTGTGAGAAATATTTAAAAAACCTCATTCAGTTTGATCATTGTAATTACTATTCAGGGACTGCGGATTAAGGACTATTTGGTAACATCTGTTACCACGCCGACATATGGTGCCTGAATATTTAAGTCAATTTTTAACCTGTTGCTAGGGGTTACAGTTGCATTTATATTAGAATGAAAAAAAAATTATTCTAAGCATTTTTTAATAATTTTAGAAAACTGGAAAAAATTTCAGATCACATCTTTTGACATTTAAATAGGTAAACTTTTTTCACTGACAAATTTAAACCACATAATATTTCCATTTGTTTCTTCAAAAATACTTATCAAATATGTAGCCAATGTTAAATTATATTCATTTGATTCAAAATTAACATCAAAATTTTAGAAAAACACACAAAAAGACAAAATGTACACCAAAATGTTTGTGGGAAAAATTAAGGCATTTTTTTAAAATTATATTTTTTAAATACATTTTGTATATTTTTGCCCTAAATTTTAGCTGTCAGTGGACACATGCAATACCCATCTTTATTTGAAGTCTACATTTCTACAATTAAGAACAAATTCGAACCAAGCTCAAGTTGACCTATTTGTAACCATTCTCAATGACACCACTAGAGGGCTCACTCGCGTATATCAGCTGGGTGTAAACTGACTCTGGGTAGCACCATTTGCTGGAGACATGTTACAATAATTGTTATAGAGACCACATGTTTCAGGATTAAAGTCAAGTATGTTGTTATCTGACCTAATATAATGGTTTTTATACATTTAGGAATGGTAATCCTTTCAATGACCTAATGTACAACATAAAACAAACAATACAATGAACTGATTTTATGTATTATCTTGCTTCAGTTGTATGAATATCAGAGATTCTATTCTGTGTATAAATGAAAATTGTTGAATAGAAACAACTGTTTATACATTGTATGTCAAGTTTTTTAAATTTATACAGGTATCACACTGCTATGTGGGTCCCATGCAACATGCAACATGCGTAAAGTTCATGAAACAAATTTGACTTTTGATCCACCAAGTTTAAGGGCGTTCCTGAGAATGTTGCTGAATGTTATTCATATCATTAAAACTGTTTCAAGTTCGTTTTTTCGCCATCGACGAGTGTCATTTGGATGAAAAACGCAATAATGATTAAACTATTAAACGGTAGTGACACTTCCATCTTCACCTGTTAGCACTGGAGCATACGTGAGACACATTTCCATGAAATTTGTGAGTCAGTGTAAATTACGAGTTTTAAAGTAGTGAAAATTTATCTGGGGTACTATGACAGTAACAGTGACAAATGTTCACCCCAACAGAGGTGGACATACAGTTTTAGCAACCCAAAGAGCTCATTGTCAACCGAGGCGAAGCTGAGCGTGCTGACAAAACATACTGCAAGCACGTCTAAAAATCATGCAAAATCGCTATAAAATCCTAGTTTTTCTCTCCAATAAGATTGTCAAATAGTGAACGCAAACCTGGCAAACTAATCAGTTCCCTTAACAAGTTATTGCCGTAAATCAGATAAATTCTGGATGGAGGTAGACATACGAATATATCTACCTGTAATACGCAATCTGATTGGCTGGCATGGTCATGAGGTATAATAATGTAAAATGAAATGTTTGATTTGGAGATATAAGTCTACAACCTTGTTTCTGTCAAGTGCATGTTAGCTTCAGTGTTTCAGAATTTGTTGCCATACCAACTGATTTTATAATTTTTTATGGTGATCAAAATAATCAGTTGGAATGCAACTTTAATGAGTATCACATGAAAGTCTCCCAAATATATTATAACACAGAATATATCAATGTAATTTCTACACTGTATATTCCTATCAATTTGATAAATATTTGTATTATATTAATAATCCTTCATCCATATGCTGTATTCAATCTTGGTAATCCTAATCTGGATTAAAATATCAAAGACTATTGACACTGAGACTGAGAAGTGCACCAGCTTGATGGATTGAGTAATGGCAAAGATATGTAAAAGTGCATGTATATACCTAATTCTGGCCCTAAAATTAATTTTTAGCTCCATGCTCTGGCTTAATCAAATATCTGAGTGCTTCCTAGAGCATTATAGAGTAGACACCAACCACTTAATAATTAATGATAAACTTGATCAGCATAACAATGAATAAAATGGAGGTGGTCAACATATAATGTTTATGCAAATTAGTTGTACAGTATTTACCTGGGCAGGAAAGGTGATGGCTTTTTATCAATAGCATCGCAAAAAATATTTACTGCCTTTAAAAAACACTGTAATCATGCTTCTTTTTACCATGCCTTTAATGTCAGGAAGCATGTTTTAAACCTTGTAAATATTTGTATCATGCAGTCTACTAGTCTGGAGCCCTCAGTGGTGAGAACGTCAACACACAAATAAATTTTTAAGTCTACTGCCCTCAGTGGTGAGAAGCACAATTGCTTAACACTGACAATAACTGTCAAGTTTCTTAAGTAAATGTTGAATTCTTTAATTATCTGTAATGCAAGGTTAACTCTTCATTATACATGTTTTATAAATTTACATTTTAGGAATAGTAGAATAAAATGTAAATTAGTCCAATAACTCATTCACTACCATGTCAACCTATATGACTTTCCACCAAATAGTCAAATATTTCTTTATCTACCATGCCAACTTTTGCGCAATTTAAAAAAATATTTAAATGAATTAATAATAGTTAGAATTAAGATCACAGGAGATTTTTTGTCAAAATGTTTTGTCAAATTATTTCAGGAAAATTGAAGTAAGCCCTCTAGTGGTGATGAAGAGATATGTCAAAATATTTGTATATTGGAAGGTCATTCAATTTTCTGGTGACATTTTATAAATTTGTTTTCTAAATGTGGAAAGACCTAAAAATTATTACTAAACAAGTTAAATTTGTGTTATCAAATTTTTACAACCAAAGTTTGTCAACTTTTTTTCTTTGTTCTTTTTTACATGGTACATGTACACACTTGTAAACTAACTGCTGGTAGAAAATGACAGAAGAAAACCGATTTGGCCACTATCAATATTCATGATATGACAATCATGGGGAAACCTAGTAATAGTGATAGTGTGACCATGACTTATTGTCTAAAAGGAGAAAATGTCAATCTTGTGTTTTGTACCAGGCAGCCATGGGATACTATTGTCCATAATATATTTATACCCCCTCTCCCCGACCTCCCCTTTGTGATGTTAATCATGTAGTTAAATTTCTTTCCAGAGTATTTGCTGAACTGGAGGTTGCCTGTTTTTCGTGTTTATTCTGAATCCTGAAATTTGCAAATATTCGTTCCTTACAAACTTAAAGCAGTTACAAAAAATGAATCTGTACGTATAAATGCTACAGGGTTTAGAGAGTGTGAATCAGCTCATTTCATTCTCTTCAAGTTTACTATCCATCACACAAAGTTACTGAACAGAAAAGTGAACTAACATATAAAACCACTCAGAGTACTCTGAAGGTCAAGTGCAGTTAAGTGACATTGGGATTAAACTTCACAGAGGCACTGAAGACAATTGGTGACATATTTGTATTGCTTTGATGGTATATTCATGTACCATATTTTTGTCTTATCAAACGTGCATCTCCTTATCTTTGATCAAACACCTCAGTAATATTTCTTTCAAACCCACATATGCAACCTCTGTTTATATTTAGGAATTGCATGA